TGTAGCATGAATGCCAACCTTGTCCAAGTTAAAAGTTACTTCATCTACTAGTGCCTGTGTCTAGTTAATTAGCTTATAATTACCTTCATTCATTCTACTAATAACTAATATTTAAGATTCTTGCTGAAAGTTGCTTGTTGAAGGGGTTTGTTAAGTTTTTTTTGTATGATAATCGGATGGCACAAAATTGATCGAAAAACATTTGACTGAATTGGAAATTTGATCGAAAATACATTTTATCGAATAACATTTGATTGAAAATACATTTGATCAAATAACACTTGATCGAAGATATATTTTGTCGAATAACATTTTATCGAAAAGGCAATAGATCTAAAAATCATTAGATCGAAAGGACAATATATCTAAAATCAACATTAAAAATAGTAAAATATAAAAAAAATCAAACCGATTAGACGGACGGTTGTCTAATCCCTATTACCGGGGAAACTAAACTCAACGGATATCGTCAAAATAGATATTAATTAATTTTCCGATATTTCAAACGATAGCTGCCTTATTTAATTTTGTTTTCCTTACAATACTGTTAATTTACAAATTCAAATTATTAGAGCTAAATGATTATTTATCGTCAATGAGATTAAAGTATTGTGATTAAATCGCAAAAAATATGTATTTCAGTAAGGTCGGGTTGTCTCCCGATGGGACATTTTGGGTAAATTATTTTAGTTAAAAAAAAAACTTAATTAATTTACCTAACCTGTGCCGCCTGGAGCCTTTATGGTTTGCCTCACAAAAAAATATACAAAAAAGGGAAAAAATTAAAACCTTAACTAACGTACCTAACCTTTGTGATCAGGAGCTATTTAAATTTTACTGACTGCTCTCGCACAAGTTAGGTAAAAATTATTTAAGTTTTTTTTTATAAAAAAACTCAACTAATTTACCTAACCTGTGCGGCCTAGAGTTTTCGAGGGTTGCTGGCCAAAAAAATATACAAAAATAAGAATTAAAAAAAAAAACTCAACATGTACGGCCTGGGGCCGTCGAGGGTTGCTTTACAAAAAAAAATTACAAAATTGAGAAAAATAAAAATAACTTAACTAATTTACCTAATCTGTGCGACCTGGAGCTATTTAAATTTTACTGATTGCTCTCGGATAGGTTAGGTAAATTGTTTTTTTTTCATTTCTTGTATATTTTTTTTTGTGAAACAACCTACGATGCCTCTAGTCCGCACAGGTTAGGTAAATTATTTGAGTTTTTTATTTTTTCTAATTTTATGCATATATGGTTTTTCGATCAATTCCTTTTCCTATCAAATCCATTTTCGATCAATTTTCTTTTCCATCATTGTTCTTTTCGATAATTTTTCTTTTCGATTAAATGCATTCGATCAAATGTTTTCGTTCAAATGTATTCGATCAAATATTGTATCGCCCATGATAATCGTCCTCTATTGATGAAAAAAGATATTTATATCTAGATTTCACATTGTGTTCAATACTAGTTATATAATTTAAAATTTTCTGTTTTGGAATGTCATAGGTGATAATGAATATAATATTTGCCCAAGAACACTTTCCAAGTTGGACATATTTCATCGGTTTTTTTTTAATTTTAAATAGTAGGCCTTGATGTCACACTTTATCGAAGACTTTCGAGGTATCAAAAAATACTAAGGAACAAGCTTTTTCTTCTAGAGATTTCTCTATTTCATTTGTTAAGTGATGGATTATTATCTTTATTATCTTTATTATCTTTATTATCTTTATTATCTTTATTATCTTTATTATCTTTATTATCTTTATTATCTTTATTATCTTTATTATCTTTATTATCTTTATTATCTTTATTATCTTTATTATCTTTATTATCTTTATTATCTTTATTATCTTTATTATCTTTATTATCTTTATTATCTTTATTATCTTTATTATCTTTATTATCTTTATTATCTTTATTATCTTTATTATCTTTATTATCTTTATTATCTTTATTATCTTTATTATCTTTATTATCTTTATTATCTTTATTATCTTTATTATCTTTATTATCTTTATTATCTTTATTATCTTTATTATCTTTATTATCTTTATTATCTTTATTATCTTTATTATCTTTATTATCTTTATTATCTTTATTATCTTTATTATCTTTATTATCTTTATTATCTTTATTATCTTTATTATCTTTATTATCTTTATTATCTTTATTATCTTTATTATCTTTATTATCTTTATTATCTTTATTATCTTTATTATCTTTATTATCTTTATTATCTTTATTATCTTTATTATCTTTATTATCTTTATTATCTTTATTATCTTTATTATCTTTATTATCTTTATTATCTTTATTATCTTTATTATCTTTATTATCTTTATCTTTATTATCTTTATTATCTTCATTATCAATTATCTTTATCTTTATTATCTTTATCTTTATTATCTTTATCTTTATTATCTTTATCTTTATTATCTTTATCATCTTTATCTTTAGTATCTTTCCTTTCAGATCGAACCCTGTTTTTTACGTTATTTTGCATTTCTCTAGGAACTTCTTTAGGACTTATTTATTTCCATTTCTTCATCTTCACCTTCTCCTGAGTTTCGGCTGAAAGATACGTTATAAATAGTTGGCGAGAGCACCAACTTTTTGTTTAGAACTTCTTACTCGTGTTCCATGTTTTGTTCCCTAAGAAGATGGCACATATTTCAACATAAGCTGCTTTTAGAAGTTGGTTTTAATTCACATACATTTTTCATTGTAGATTATTATTCTGGTTTACGATATAACTAGCTCTGAAAGTTTTAATGGAATGATGTTGTGGCTAAACGAAGTCAAAAAAATCTTGGACAGTCCTAAACAAATAGCAATATTTGGAAACAAAAGTAACATTCTCAAAAATAATTCGAATATTTTATTTTATTTGTTTTTTTTTGCAGTTGATCTTGAACATAAACGGAGCGTAAGAGTAGATAAAACTAGGGAGTTTGGAATGGAATCTCAAATTCTAAATTTCCTAGTTTCTGCTAAAAGTGGGGAAAATGTAAGGAAAAACAATGAATACTTAATTACAACTCGCTACATATAAATGTAGTTAAATCGGGCTTGGCTATGAAAGTTTTATAGCTTTCTTAAAGCAATAATAAAGCAATAATTGGTTAATTTTATACGTTTGGCTTATAATAATTGTGGTGATTCAACCGTGTTCCAACTACCTTTTTAACTCGTTCATCTTTCGGAAATTATTTTTAGTATTAATAACTAATAACACTCTTAAAGTGTAAATTTTGATAACAACTCCAGTTGAAGATATCCGACTTCTTTTAACGTCGTATTTAGAGGTTGTGGAGCAATACTACAGAAATAAAACTGACGCCCGTATGTTTTCCGAGTCTAAGGCGTCACAAAAAGGTATAGTCGAGAAAGTCTCTTAGAAAAGTTAAAAAACTATGTAATTTAATCCTAAATAAAACGCATTCAAAAAGTAACTGAGCCTACTATCACTGCCAACTACGTTTGATACACTACTTTACTTACGTCATCACTAATGCAGCGTATATACTTACACATTGAAACTCTTCATGGCCATTTCCGATTTAAAATAAGTGTGAATGACATGTAGTAAATAGTTACTGATAATCGGTGATTTTTATGAAGTAATAAAAACAACTCTAAAGTAGCCCATGGAAAAAATCACCCATGTCGGAACTTTAAATTATTTTTTTAGTATTATGAATTTCGTTCAGAAGCGTTTGTTTATCATGAACACGACTCGTATCTTCGCCGTTTTTGGTCATGAACTACTTTAGAAACATTTTTTGAATCACACGTTATTTTTTTTTGTACGTTTTTTATGTTAGATTCGGTGTAACATTATAGATTATCGATAGATTATTATAAAAGTATTAACATTTTAGGTAAATTCATCTTTAACGAGTCTTATAGCAAAACATTTTGGCATACAATTAACCAGGTTAGAAAGAGAACGGCAAGCTCCGATAGTCAAAGTTGAATTAACATCTACCGATGAAAAAACGAACACTGTCACAAATTCTATGAAGCAATCAAGATCCTCATCTCTAACATGCTCTTTACAATGATATCAAATATTTTATAAATGTCGATATGTTTCTTATCAAAGTTTTATATTTATTTAAGTAAAATATAAATCTATTAAGGTTTTCTTTTTATTTTTATTGACAAATGTTATTTCTTAAATGGGTAGCAATTAATTTTGAAATACTGTTACACATTGTTTTTTCACAAAACTATATCGTGAGAGAATTGTGTCTTGCCCCTCCCCAACCCGTTAAATAGTATAGAAAAACATTTGAACACGTCAGTTTTTAAACTCATCGGAGATTGCGACGGTAGATTCAAAGTTTTGATATTTTTATGAACCCCCTTCAGGTGACAACCACACATTTTTTTTAAATCGCTAGCAAGAGGAGTCGCATGCAAAGGAATTTTTTTTTGGTAAATTCGGCATTATCACTGTCCATTGCGTCACTTCTATTTTTCGCGCCCTACGTTTTGTAAAGTGTGGCACTTCATTTGAAAGCTACTTTGTTTAGTAATCATTACAACGCGTAACATTAACCTAAATATATCCATATTGAACTTGCAACAAAATAAAATTAGTAGTAGTGCAATCTTTTTTCATTTTAAGTTGATTCTTGTTTTAGTTAATATATTATTATGTATTAAATTGAATTACTAATAAAATTTGCTTTCAAATAGTGTTACACTTTACAATACCTAACAGCTTTTTATTTCGCTAGAGGGTACTAAAATCAAAAGTAGATAATGCAATAAATATTTCAAAATTATCCATAAAATTACCTGTTCAATGTAGTGACGTACCTTCCCTTTTACCATTTAAGAGAATTGAGGGGTTGGCTGTCACCAGAAGTTTAAAAATCGACGTGTTCAAGCGTTTTTCTCTGCTTTTTAAAATAAGTAAGTTGACAAGAGGGGTGATAAACTATTATTTCTTTGAATGTTAATTTATTTTTATTTATGTTTTGCAGTAATTGAAAAATACACAGAAAATGTCAGATTTTGTATAATTTGTAATTATTTAAGCAAGATAATACCGGCCCTACAGTCTCGTTGCACAAGATTCAGATTCGGTCCATTGTCTCCAGATCAAATTTTACCAAGATTAAACTACGTTGTCGATGAAGAAAAGTAAGTTGTATTGTTCTTGTTCCTAATTTTTGCATGCTATATAAGGTAGAACGTTAAATGTGCTACATCGTGTTAAGAGATAAAATTCCGACTGCGTCAGATATATATTTCATATCCATTGCAAAAAATGAAATCCACCAATCACAGTTCATATTTTGGTTACCAATTGCCAGTATATTTTTTTAGTTATTGAGATTAAATATACGTAAAAATGAATTATTCTTGTCTAGAATCGATAAATAATAGCATTTCTATTTTTATTTCGTCCACATTTACAAATAAATGTTAAATTTTAATCGAACTATATGAAACAAATTTAATTACGAGTATTAAAACTAAAATCGTAAGTGTGGCGATGGAGGTGAGCACACGGCGTTTCCCTTCCACGGGTTTAAATCTGAGCTGGGGATTAAATTAAATCTTTTTTTGTTTATTTTATTTCATAAATTAGTAAAAGTCATAAATTATTTTGTCTTAGGTTATTAAGATAAAATAACTAATTTAAAAATAATTTATGACTTACTAATTTTACAAAATAAAATAAACTAAAAAAGATTTAATTTAATTAGTCTCCAATCCTATGTTTGTATCTGGGACCTCTTTATGACAGCCAAATACGCTAGCCTCTTCTCCATCGACCCACCTAACATTTTAGTTTTAATTCTCGTAATTAAATTGATTTCATATAGTTTTATTAAAATTTATGATTTATTGATTCTAAACAAGAATAACTCATTTTAATGTATATATAATCTGAATAATAATTTAAAAACATACTAACAATTAGGCATTCCAAACAAATGAATTGCCAGTGGGAAGGTTGGACATATCTAAGGGTTGCGACATACGATGTATTCTATCTACTATACGTAAAATCATGAATAATGGATTACATTTAAATATTTTATGCCAAACACAATAAAAATAATATTTAAAAAACCCGCTTATATATTTCTTCATAAATTAGCAGGCTTGGCGATTACAATTTCGAATAAAAATAGCGTCCAAGATGCAAGACTATGTCGCTACCCCCTTAGATATACAAGAATTTCCCACTGGCACCTATTGTTTGACAGGCCGTTGGAATGCCTAGTTTGACAGAATTGTCACTTTTATTTAAAAAAAATAGTAGCCGGCTGATCAAAATATGAACTGAACAGTATAGTATTATCTATAACTATCAATAAATAAAAAATAAGTAAGTTATTAGGAATATAGGAAATTTCCTATATTCCTATAATATTAATATTTCACTAAACCCCCAGTAGGCGGTGATAACCAATTAATTACTATGCCAAATGATGACACAGCTGTGTTCTTCTAATTGTAATCGGACTCTAGAATGGATATGAAATATATTCGTTTAGTTGAACGTAAGCATACGTTTTGTAGTCTGTGCGTGGAATAACTATTATCCATGTGGGTCTAGAAAAAATTATTAATTTTTTGGAGTTTTTTTATTGATTTTTGTTTTTTTTCAGTGATTTTTGTTCTATTTTTGATGTTTTGTTTTCTTGTTTTTTTTATTGTTTATATTTGTTTATTTTTGTTTTTTTATTCAATTTTTGTATCATATAAAATAAAATATTTAAACATACTTTTCGAACAAAAAACGTTTTAAAATAAAATGTGACACTGTTACTCAAAATATAAAATAACACCGACATTTTTTGTGTTGTCTTTCCGAAAAACTAATTAAATTAAAAACAAATTTGATACTATTAATTTTTTGTGACAATCTTGCACACAAAAGGGCGGCGCAATGTTATTTCGAGAAGTGTCAAAACAGTCTGAACTCTTTCTGGCTAAACTACGCACTGTTAATTTGTGTCGATTTTACAGGTAAATTATACCGCTTTTTTAAGCACAATGGTAATAAAAATAAAAATTTCAGTGATTATAGTCTTGTTGGAAAGCAACGATATTGTCCCAATGCCTATAAGAAATCCTGTCCTCTGAGGCTGGTCCAACACGATCGACGACTACCGCATGGTGGTGTCACGAGTTGGATCACCTCAGGAAGATGGCTAGGAAATCTTTTAATAAGGCAAGAACCACAAAACACAAAGAGGACTGGGATACTTACAAATCTCACCTCAGAGAATACAAAAAAATCATCAAACAAAAACTGAGAGATGCATGGAGATTCTACTGCGAAGAAATCGAAGATTTCCCTCAGGCAGCGAGGCTTCATAAAGCTCTCTCAAAAGATCCACACCGAAGCATTGGTGCGCTAATCAAAGAGGATGGCACGAAAACTGCCAACCTCGAAGATAGCATCAAACTTCTGCTGTCAACACACTTTCCTGACTCGGTCATCACACACGTGGCGGACTGGGCAGAGGAAGAATACAATACATTTGTCTATGATTGACAAACTGCCAAACACATTGTAGACGATGAAAAAATTAGATGGGCAATATCCAGCTTCTCTCTATCTAAATCGCAAGGACCTGACGGTATCTATCCAGCCCTACTTCAGTTGGGTCTGGAAGAACTCACACCGCACCTGCTGGGTATATTCCAATCCTCGTTGGCTCTGAGGTATATCCCCAAAAAATGGAGAGAGGTAAAAGTGGTATTTATACCCAAACCTGGAAGGAAGAATTACTCTGTCCCAAAAACATATCGTTTTCCATGAAGACATTGGAAAGGCTATGCGAAAGGTACATAAGGGATACGGTGATTATAACAACACCACTACATCCAAACCAACATGCATACACCCCAAGCAGATCTACTGATTCAGCCCTTTATCTAGTTGCTGGCCGGATAGAAAGATCCCTGGACAATAAGGAGTCCGCCTTGGGTGTTTTCATAAACATAGAAGGTGCTTTTGATAAATCCACCTTCCCAAAGATAATACACTTACTAACCAACAGGAATGTACAAATGGTTAGCGGGTGGATACATAACATGCTCTCAAAGCAAGCAGTAAACATAAATGTAGAAGATGTGAATATTAGAGGCTTGGTTGCGAGGGGATGTCCACAGGGAGGAATTCTATTACCTCTACTGTGGAATATAGTCCTCGACACCCTCATCAGCCGCCTCAATAATGACAGTCACTACACAATATCATATGCAGATGACCTGGTCATTCTACAAACAGGGAATTTTGAGAACATACTCTGCGAACGAACGCAAGTGACTCTAAAAATTATCGAACAGTGGTGCAAGGACCATGCACTGTCTATCAATACTAAGAAGACAGAAATGGTCCTTTTCGCAAGGAAAACGATGAAAATGGAAGTAAAACCTCCAGAACTCCTAAACACAAAACTAAACTTTGCAACAGAGGTGAAGTACCTAGCTTTCACCTTTGACAGCAAGTTAACATGTGGAATTCGCATTTAGAAAATAAGGTTAAAAAAACATACATTGCTTATGAACAATGCCGCCGAACCGTGGGGCGCACCTGGGGTTTCTCCTCCAGAGTCGTCGCATGGACTTACACGGCTATCATAAGACTTATACTAAAATACGGTGCAGTTGTCTGGGTACCGAAAACCCAAAAAATAACAGCTAAACTAAAACAAATTCAAAGAACAGCATGTCTCAACATAACAGGAGCCATGAAAACAACACCGACCAGGGCTATGAAAGTCATTCTTAGTCTCACTCCCCTTGATATTTACATCAAGGAGGTTGCTCGGACGACAATGACATGCCTCCGCACTGTTGGAATAGAACCTGATGTAGGATCTGGTGAGGCGAGACGTCGCTTTTGGCGCTCGATACGCTCCCACTGCTTCAAGCTAACATGGACTCTATCTCACCAAGATATATCTTTCATAAGCCATATAAAGTTATAATAGAACAAATAGAAGAGCCGGACGTGGCAGGTACGATTCATATCTACACCGACGGTTCTAAAACAAAACAAGGCTCATGATGTGGAATATACTCCAGATTCTTAAACATAAACATAAAATGTTCTGTGAGCAATAGTGCCAGTGTAGTTCAAACAGAGCTAACGGGGATTCTCATAGCAGCAAAAGAAATAACCAGAAACAATATCACTGGAAGGAACATGCTCATCTATACAGATAGCAGACAAGCACTAGTCACCCTGAACAGACCACGAATGTACTCGGGGTTAGTACTAAAATTTCACGAAGCTTTGGCCGAATCTTCAATGTGGTCACCTTAAGATGGATCAAAGGTCACGCCATATCGAAAGATAACCGTCTTGCTGATTCACTAGTCAAGAAAGCAGCCAACCAAATACTTTTTGGACCTGGCCCTTCTATTGGCCTGACAAAATCGGTACTGAGAGTCCTAATCAAAGAACATTCCCTTGTGAAATTCAAGGAAAGATAGACAGAATCTGCACCTAGTCACAGGCATTCTGACTGGTCATTGCCAAGTACGAAAGCATCTCCATATGATGGGGCTCTCAGAATCCGCACACTGCAGAGGGTGCGAACAAGAAGATGAAACAATCGAGCATATCCTTTACGATTGACGGACGCTCTCATTTATTAGAAGATTTTTGTTCGACGAGTATTGGCTAACACCGGCCGATATAAGAGAAGCACCTCTTGGCGACGTTGTCAACTACATTAAATCTGTAGACTGGCTCACGAGCTAGGAGGTGCCTATCATCTCAGGAGGATGCACAATTGGCCTAATGAGGCCTAAGTGCCGTGGGGTAACCCACCCCCCACACGTTACAGATACAGATGTCACTTCCTAAAGCATCGATGGGGGAAGTTTCTTCAGTGCAAGGTGAAAAATAATTAAACATGAAGATATTAGTGGGAATACAAAGAATTCAAAGAAAAACAGTTAAGCTTAAAAACAATCTTAAATGCTTGATAAAATGATAGTGATGGGGACTGTGAAAGGAGGAATCCATTCTAATGTGTTGATGAGCGCAAAAGAGATAGTCAGTGTTAGTCAAATCAAGTATCGGTAAGCCAGACGCAAATGTGATAGAAAAACAGAACTTGCTTAGCGAACCTAGTGCCACAAGGTTTTATTTGAAGTTATTCTCCTTAAAAACTTTGCGCTGTGTTTTTGAAATTATAATCGAGTCTTTTTTTATAAAAAAAAAACATAAAATTACCAGTTATTTGAACTCATATGAAAGAATTGAGACAGGTAGGATGGGATTAGAATGTGTGTCCGCCGAAGAGAGTCGGAAACTGATTGACTTCAAATCTGCGAGTTCAGTTGTCGAAACCATGGGTTTTGATAGCTCAATTGGTAAGAGCATAGACGGCTACGGTCCAAAAGTTCCAAGTTCGATCCCTGGTTGATGCTCTTATTTGTCTCTCTTTAATTTTGAGCTTTTTCAGTTTTCTTTGGTTTGTTTTCACTTTGGGGATATGGGAGTTTATTTTTCATAATTTCGTAAAGGAATTGGGGATTATTCATTTACATATTTCCAAAATGGCATCATATAAAAATACTTTTACAAAACCTAGATACTACAATCATGTTTATAACATTGCTTTAATTGCAGGGTAACTATTACAGAAGATGGTAAGAAAGCTTTACTGACGTTGGCAAATGGAGATATGAGAAAAGTTTTAAACGTATTACAAAGCACGTGGTTAGCTTATAAAAATGTCACGGAAGATAATGTTTATACTTGTGTGGGTCATCCTTTGCGGACGGATATTGAAAACATCGTTAAGTGGTTGCTGAATGAAGATTTCCAAACTACTTACAAAAGTATCCTTATGTTTCATTTTTATGTTTATCGTTTTGTTAGTTGTCTGTTGTTTATTTAGTTGTGCACATAGTGAATAGAATCTGGGAAACTGAAAAAAGTTTCACTTTCAGAAAAATATGGTGTGAGTTTGATAATGGAAGTGGACGTGAACATTTTTCTTAGGTACTTCCGTTTATACTGGAAATAGACCTTAAGTCGCTTGTTTTAAATACGATACCCTATATATTATTATATTTTTGGATTATACTAAGATACTAGGCAGATTTTATGTACCATGTCCTAGGTCTAAGCGTTTTTGATATAAAGAGTCTTCAAAATTGTTTAAATATTCAGGAATTTTTATTTCTAGATTCTATAAATGCTAAAATAAAAATTACAACAATTCCAAGTTGCCTAAAACATATTTTTTGGAATTAATTTTTTGTAGATGTCATATGTTGCCCAGTAGCAAATTAATCGCAAATGCCCTGGAAAACTGTCGATTACAGATTCATTAACATATATACTTATTTATACTTTTTTATTATTGCAAGTTACCTAAAACATCTTCCCCAAATTTGTCAATCTCTCCGGCTAATATGTAGTGCTGGACTAATTAAGATATAATCGGTCAACCATAAAAAAATGATTATATTACGATATATATAAACTTTGTATAATTATCCTTAACCTGTTTTTAGATATTAAAGAGTTAAAAATGATTAAAGGCCTTGCCCTTCACGATATACTTACCGAAGTTCACAAATATGTTCACAGAAGTAATTAAGTCTTTTATTTTTTTCATATTAAGACATTTTTTTAATATTCTATTGATATATAGTTAAAAATGCTCCGTATTTGATTTATTATTATTTTTTTAGTTGAATTTCCATTTAATGTGCTGATAGATCTTCTTGAAAAGATGTCAGAAATTGAGAATCGTCTATGTGCTGGTGCAAGTGAAAATATTCAGCTGACTGCATTGATCTCGGCATTCCAGAATGTTAAAGATATTACACCTCCGGAATCTTCGTAATGAAACTTTTACACACTAATTATTTTTGTTATATTTTTTTTTATATAAAGTAGTTTTCTGATTAAATAATTGAAAATTATATTTCTTTTTAATTATATATTTACAATAACACAGCTGTTGTTATTACGTTGTTTTTAATATCGTGTAACGGTGGGAACCGTTATTTCGACACAATCACCTCTTACTCGAATGTCATTTGTCGTTTATGCCTTGTGTCAAAAGTTTTAATTTTCATTTTATTTGAATAGTTCAAATAGATCACATTTATTTTAATTTATCTTAAAATCCGTCTGATTTTATAAGGTAAGTTTTAATAATATTATATTAGTAAATATATATATTTTGTACAAGGATTTCTTAAATAAATTGTCAAGTTTTAAACATAACCTCAATATCAATAATGAATAACACATGGTTAGTTTTATATAAAATTATATATATTTTTTTTGGAATAAGATATGCTTTACTATATTTAAATATATTAAATAAGATTTTTCCTTTTCATATTAATTTTAGTCTCTGTGAAATTATTCATTTAATAGTTAAAGCATTTTATCTAAATCCTATTCAAACTTCTTTTCTCCTATGATAACATTTTAATCCTTTTTAGCTAATGGCTATATCTAGACGGTTTTGGTTTCATCTCTAGACGGTTATTAAGAATATTACGAAGTTGATAAAATTTATATATTAATTTTCTAACTCTTTTTGTTAAGTAGTTAATATGTTCTTCCCATTTCAGGTTTTGATAAATCATGCCTAGGTACTTTATGTAATTAGTTTCCAAGATACTTTCATTAATATTTTCGATTTTTATTGAATTAAAGAGTGGACGATTTACATTAGTTTTTGAAAAAGCGATATATTTGGTTTTGGTAGCATTTAAAGATAACTGATATTTGTCTAACCATTTCTTAACCGTGGACATGTCTAGTTTAACAATACTTTCTATATCGGCCCAAGTATCACCTCTGAACAATATGACAGTGTCATCTGCATATGATATTATTTTACCATTTATGTTCAAAGAGAGTAATGAATTAATGTAAAGAATAAACAAATTGGGACTTAACACTGTACCTTGTGGGACACCAGCTTTAATGATCATGCTTTCACTCACACAATTGTTTATTTTAACGGTTTGCTCACGATTAGTAAGGTAGAGCAAAAATATTTAGCTCAGTGCCTCTCACTCCTTAGCATTCAAGAACTGTTAAAAGCTTGTTGTGATGCACTGAGTCAAACGCTTTCGCTAAGTTTAAAAATATTCCAAGACATTTTTGTCCAGTATCAATTTTTTTTATAATTTCATTAGTAACCTCATTGCATTTTCCGTACTTTTACCTTCTAAGAATCCGAATTGGTTTGAATTAATAATATTGTTTTGATTTAGAAAATTGATTAATCGTGTGATTTAAAATTTTTTTAGTAAAGTTGGTTATAACACTAATTGGTCTGTAGTTAGATATATTTTGTTTGTATATTTTGTATTTGGCCTGTTATAAAAATTAGGTTGATTATATGAGATAATCGCAAAACGATGTATGTATGTATAGTTTTGTTTAGTTTAGATGTTATGTTGTCATAACCAGGGGCACTTCCATTTTTAAGAGAGTTAATGTGTCCAATAATTTCATTTGTTGATACAAAAGTTAAGTACGATTGTCTTAGTGTTAAGTGGAATATCATGGTTGAAATCGTTGGGCTCAGAAATAGAATTTATCATTTTGGTACCTATGTTGGAGAAATAATTATTGCAGAAATTAGCCATTCACCTATAATTAACCGTCTTTACTATACTAGATAACTATATTAGAATTATATGAACACGCTTTGGTATAAAAGACGTTTTTTATGTACCAGTCTTCTATGTCACATTTAATGGTTTGGTCTATCAAATCGCTTGGTAGGTACACCATTATTCCTATATGCCTGCCCTATGGCTTCTACAATAGGTAAATTCGAACAGACAAGTTCCATTCACTCCTTTAACTTTTTCCAAACGATGCTTTTTAACCGACTTCAAAAAAGGAGGAGGTTCTCAATTCGTCGCGATTTTTTTTTCTTTTTTTTTTATGTTCAGCGATAATTCTTCAACACGGTGTCCGATTTCAAAAATTCTTTTTTTTGTTAGAAATAGGGTACTTCAGGGGTGGTCCCATATAAATTTGGTCAAAATATAATAATTGGGTCTGTGAGAAAATCCTCAAACTCTTCATTTTTTATGTATGTTTAGCGATAATGCTTTACCACCTGTCCGATTTATATGATTCTTTTTTTGTTAGTAAGGGGATACCACAGGGGTGGTCTCATATAAATTTGGTTAAGATGTGGTGACGGCATCTGCACGTTTTTGAAGTCGGTTTTTTTAAATTTTTAATTTCTAATACTTGTAGCGTTCGGTTTATTCCTATTAATGACAGTTCAACACGCTTAAATGTCATTTAATAGCACCCTAAAAAACTCCACTCTTGTCCCGCTCCAGCCCCTGGCAATTCTGAATGCTACTAGTAGAAACTTACCAAAAATATCCATCGTAGGGTTACATTTTTTTATTGGTTGCTTATCACGGCCGGCCCAGTTAAATTTAATGGCAATTTGGTTGCTCAGATGGTATTTCATAATATCTAGCTAGGTACAATTCCTAACGTTTACTCCGCCGATGCAGGCTAGGCGTATTTTCTGCGAAAATGAATTAACCGCAGCCAGGGTTATTTTAGACATTTTTTAAAATAAAAATCAACTGACGAATAAAATATGGAAAATGAATGTGATGGAAATAAATAGGTAGACTAGACACTTATAAAAATAAGAGAAACAAAAGTTAAAAGTAAGGTTATGTTTTAGAATTTCTGTAAGCTTCTTACACACTGTACATACCTATAAAATAGTAGTTGTAAAATGCAGGAATAATTGAAGGAATATCTAAAATAAAACAATATAAACTTATCTATGCTTTTAATCAACACGTGTACACAAATGAATGTGGATAAACGACCTACACAACAAAACTACCCAATACATGCATACGCAAGAGTAGAAATGAGAAAAGACCGTAGTCCTAGTATGCCATCTTCCATTCGCCTCATCAAGTAGTTCCGTTCCGTGTGTTTGGGAAATTCCTTATAAATGTTACATGTATAATAAAAAAAAATGGATGTTTTTAAATATTTCAACCCTCGCTTAACCCACCCATTTTTATTCAGATTTTTTTCAGAATCGGTAGGCTTCATTTCCTTATAGTGCTTGATTTTTACTAAAAATTTCCTGTTGATATCGCTTTTGGTTTTTTATGATTTTTTTTTAATTTCGACCCCCCTTGACCCTCCATATATATTCAGATTTTTTTCAGAATCGGTAGGCTTATCTCCTTATAGAGCTTGATTTTTATTAAACATTTCAAGTTAATTTAATTTTTCGTTTTTAAGTTAGAATTTTTTTAAAGATTTCAAGCCATCCTTAGCCCCCCATTTTTATTTATTTCAAAATCAATAGGCCTCGTCCTAATATGGAGCTTGATTTTTTCCTGAAATTTTCAGGTTCATATCATTTTTAGACATCGGACGGATGTACATTTTCAAAAGTTGATGAGTAGGATTTTGATACAATTTTTTTAAATTTGGACCAATATTAAACATTTTGTTTTCTTGAAAATAAACCTATAATATTCTTCACAAACTACTGTGTGAAGAGTATACGATCAATAAGGGACCTAAAGGAAGACCTAAAAAGAAGGGGTGGTAAAGTGACTGGAACTTGAAACTATAGAAAAACTTATTGAAAGGTAAAGAGTATTCTTGTAAATAATTTATTTGGGCTAATTTCTGTAATATTTTAATAATTTCAGTAATACCCACTGGATAAGACATATCTTCGTCGTAGAGTCAAAACCTAGTGTATCATAAAATTACCAGGTTTTCAAGAAACACAAAATTCTCTAAAAAAAAATTTCATTCTGTTACGCCAAGATAGGAGTTTTTGACTCTACAACGACGATATGCTATATTGCCACTAATGGAGTAATTTTAATTTGCACGTCAAAATAAGGACCACTCACAATGCGCAACACCCTAGGGGCCGAATGCTATGACGTCACTCACAGAGTGATTTTCATTTGCACGTCAAAATAAGTACCGCCTACGATGCGCAACATTCTATCTTCAGGTGGGTATATCGTGTGCTATATTGATATCGTGATGGAAGTCTATTCAAATATGTAGATTACTCTTTTCTACAGTCATGAATTTAATGCTAAATTGCGGTGCCGTGAATTGTTGGGAATTGGCACGTGACTCAAGTAGCTAGTTAGTACATATTTTCGTTTCGTCACTGGCTTATCTCAAGCAGCCATAACAGATGCGTGGGTTTCTGACGTATATGCTCTATTGAAATACGTTTTCGAAAAGTAAAAACTAAAGGGTACCCAGCAAAACTGCAGATTCTGTGGGTAAAAATATTGCGATTTAACCAAACTTACCTTAGTCCAAAAGTTGATAATAACCGAAATACAAGGTGGTTTTTTCCTCAACAGGACAACATACCGGTACAAAATTATGAATTTAAGGGTTTTTGGAGAAAATAAATTCAAATCCGTTCTTAGTTCGGATGCCACTTGTAGAGGGAGCCACTTACGGTACATGAAATCTTTAAAATGAACAAACTTTTTCGTGTCGACGTGTATTAGCCTAAATGTTAAATATTATGTATTTTCCACCTTTTTTACGCAAAAAGGTTTACTTTGTAAATGTCTCTCCGAAGCGACATCTTAAACAAAAGACACAATAAGAACCAAATTAGTTAGATACTGCCAAAGCCATAAAACAAGTCTGTTTTTGGATAAAAATGAAAACCAAGAAAAAATTTATTTATTAATGCATATATGCTTAAACATCAACCTGTCAAATAAGTTAATCTTAAATCTTAAATTTTAATAAAATACCATCTCTGGATAACCCGCAATGGGTTTTCCAAACAAACTTTTAAAATAGAATTAACTGGTGCCTGATATCCAAACATCAACTTAATTATTCTCTTAAATTTTAATAAACTGCTATTTTTTGGATAGCTTCCAAAGGGTTTTCCAAACGAATTTTCAAAATAGAAATAACTGGCTTCTGATGTCCAACGAATAAAACTGCTACATAAACAGCACATCGTTCCATCAGATATTTCCATTTAAGCATCTGCTTTTCTTCATCTGATAAATTGGAAAACTCTCGAGCCTAAAAGTAGATATTTCATAAATGAGGCGTCAATTTAAGAGAGTTGTTTATGGAATTGAAAAATTACAAAATATTGATGAACCCTCAAACAAAAGTTCAAAGTCGGCGGGATTCAGTCATACTAGAAAAGTTTAAAGTTTATAAATTCTGCCGATTGTGCATTTTATATAATTATGATGCAGTCCCATTGGCATCTTTTCTTGGTTTATTTTCTTTATTATATTAAATACTCATTTAGAAGCCACTGTCTACAACAGTCTATGATCCTCTAGACCAGGACTTTCCAACCGGTGGGGCGCGCCTCCATAGAGGGGCGTAAATAAAAGATCATAAGGAGGTCCCCAATGTATTCGGACATTCTGAAGAAAAATTTATTTGAACTCTTAAATTCACGCTTAATTATTATTATTATTATTAATAAAAATAAGACAAATCAAAATGCCGTTTAATATCCATGTCATCAAAACTTTTAAAATTCAGAACATGCAGGTCAAACATCGTATTACCACAATTTTAATATTTAATTTTAAATTACGAATACGTTATTTTTAGGAGTAAATACCAAAGTTTAAAATTAATTGATTATACTTGTTATTGAGAAATAAATATCTCGTGAAAATTATATTTTTTTGTTATAACAATGAAAAGAATTGTAAGGGGGCCATCTTTATAATCTAGGGTAGCTTAAGACAAAAAATGTTGGAACCCCTGCTCTATACCCTTTAGAATAATTTAAATTTTTATATCCTTATCAAATACGAAAAACAAATACTATTTTTTTACTGTACCTACTCACTTTCCATTTTTACTATAGTCCTTCGATTTTTAATTTTGTTAATTTTAGAACCGTGACTAGCAAACCCTTCAAACCGCATCTACCGATAATGTAATAGTCAAGAGACAATTAAACGTAGGGTAAATCGTTTAAAAACCTGCACTATACGCCATGGTTTTAAAAATATAATAACTACTGAAAATCAATAGATATTCATCATTCAATAACAGAAAATCTACAAAGAACCTCCAAAAACAATTTTTTAATCATATATCATTTTAAACTAAATAAAAACTTACTGTGCAGCCTAAAGTCTCCTCTGCAGCATGCCCGCTTAATCTACAATTCATCAAAGTGCCTGTATGATCAGTCACATTTACTCTAATATCAAAATTAAATTCGGGATCAACTAATTCATTCTCATAAACGGTTGGACATTCGGAGTTTTCGCATTTAGAAGTTTTAATTTCAACTTTACATTTTCCGCTAAAAAAGAAAAGAATTTAATAGTTTGTTTTTTTTTCTTAGTCTTTATTTTTAAACATACCATTTTATTAAGAGTGTTCTCGATAGGCCATCTAAGTCAAATTCGGAAATAAAAGAGTATAGCAAAACTGTGAACTGTTTTTCAGCAGAAAAAATGTTCATTTTATCGTGGACTTGTCTAACAGTCATTACATCTTGTATGGTATTAGCTAAAATTCATTTAATAATATACATAGGGAGAATATTTAAAATATGCATCATATGGAAAACTTATTTGATACCATTCTAAGGGCCAGTCTGTAATATAATACACGCAAGTGGCACAGAATATCCAACAGAAATCTTAATTTATCAATTTCCCACGTTCCTTTTTGGAAGATAAAAAATTACTAAAACTTCTGTTATTTAGTATGTTAAACAATATTTTTACGACCATAAATAGGTCCATTATGTATTTTACCCTGTCTCAACCTGTTCTCTGCTGAACAATATGGCTTTAGACATGGAAGAATAACTACAGTTGCTATTCCAGCTTTTATGAATAACATTCAGGAGTCTTTGGAAAATAAATCACCATGCATTGCTATATTCATTGAAATGTCTAAAGCATTTGACTGTGTAAGTCACACAATCGTTAATCAACATGGCATTGGAGGAGTTGCAAATAAGATGATTGCTTCTTATTTACAAAACAAACAAAGGGTACGTTACGGAAATAAACTTAGTAAACCTTTAATAAGGTGTCCCGCAAGGATCTATACTAGGTCCTCTATTATTTCTAATATACACCAATGATCTTCCCTCATATATGAATTCAATTAACGCAGAATTATTAACTACCATGTAAGTATGCAGATGATACTATACAATTTTTTCTATCACTGCAACAACACATCTGATATAGTTAATGGTCGGGGGGGACATGGAAGCCATGACCTCCCCGAGATTAAAATGTCTGTAATCCATCAGAATTTTGTAAATGCTAAAAAGGGAATTTTTATGGCTATATATACTAATTTAAATGGAAAGTATTGCAAATTATATAAAGTTTATTTGAATATGCATGATAGCACAGTTTTTATGGCAAAGGTCTATATACAGGATTGTTCAAAGTAGAAAAAAGGTAAATATTGATACCTTATTATCTGAATTTTCACTAGATTTTAGTATGACTATCCCGAAAAACCTCGAATACAATACATCATAAAATGTAAATGAGCAAACCCTAAGGGATTAACTAATAATTCTATACCTCAGTGACGAGAACACGAAATTAATATAAAAAATGGTAAACTGTCAATATTAAGTACCCACATTTATTTTTATAAACATAGTATACTATATATTAGGTTAGGAGATTTTCTTTAAAATCTAATAATAACTATACACAACCAAATTTATATGATATACTAAAAAAATCTTTGCATTCATAAAACACTTCGAACAGTACTATTGAAATGTTCATGTATAATAGCGTCATGTACATTTAACACGAAAGTTTTCATATTCACGGTTAAATTGCTCTTTAATTTAACAGGAGTATAATTAGACGTTTGTGTCATTTTTATTGCACAAATTCCCTTGATCAATATCGCTTTTCATCGCCTATTATTATAGAACTAACTATTCTGCGTGTTACCATCACAGGAATGTACAAACAGAAATGTAAATCTTAACGAAAATAATTTACAATCTGCATACCACTTTCTGCCGATTAGAAATTTTAATCTTTTCTAAGAAAGTTGAGGGCTACTTAAATTGATCTTGAAGTGTAAATATTTTCTACTTGTAGAGATTACATACTTACTTTATTCTTGTTGATTAAAATGACTAAAAAATTTAAGACAAGAATTTAAACAAATTGGTATTTTTAAATATTTTAGGAAGAAAACAAAAGATTTTATTTTGGAACAAATACTAAACATTTTATTTTAGAAATTCTCCGTCACTGATTTGTGATGTTATATTGGGGTTTATCTCCTCGGTCATAATAATTTTCCTATCATCCATTTTCAAATAAACTACAATGCAGGGAGATTCATTTGTTTGTAAACCCTGAGTGCGCTGATACTTATGTATACAGCATACAGCCGTGCGATTTACGTGTTTATAACTTTTATTATAGCGATACCATTTTCAGATGATGTATAATTAATAGATTTTCCATACGTTACTTGTAGACTTTAAAAGTAAAAATACACGACATGTTTTTTACTTACGATTCGGCAATGATGTAATTAATTGATCCAAAATATCGAAAGTTTCAATGGGTGCCATTTTGGCATAAATGAGTAACTTTTGAGCTTCTTTACTCTCGGGATTCTCGGTGACTATAGTACGACCTGTTACTTTAGCGATAAATTGACGTTGAAAATTCGACCAAGCAATTTTTAAATCGGTCATAAATAGAGCCGTATTTCTCGGTCTCCAGTGATCGGACCTTAAATAATAAGATAATAACCAATCCATGTGATAGAGATAATTTTTCTTTTTGATTTTTCCATACATTTTAAAAATATCCTGTTTATTTATGGTTCTTACACCTTATTTTTGAATTTTTCTTTTGATCTTCATGGAATGCGGGTGTTTTTTTTTTTATTTAAACAATACTAGTTTTAATTTATGGTTTATATAGCTTTGAATCTTTGGTTTGTGCCTTCCTACTTTATGTGTGCCTACTTTATTTTTATGGAATATTTTTATCTTCTTTTACTGTTGTTTTTTTGTTGTTTCATTCATACCCATGTATTAGCGAATAAAAATAAAATCCGAATTTTTATTACATGTTCTTTACATGCAAGCAGTACAAATACAAATAGTAATAGTAAGCCTAATACCTAAAGTATTAACAATTGTTGTAAACATAAATTAATAAATATAAAAAAAACAAGTCATAGAAGATTAAAGATAATAATAATCTCATTAAAAAATAAATCAAAAAAATAATAAAGTACTGAGGAAGACACAAATCGGAGGCCGAAAGCTATAAAAAACAAATTAAAATTGCATTTATTTTATTTATTCAAATAAATAAAGTAACATTCCAAGAAGTTCAGAACAAAAAAGATATATTTTTTGTTTTACTAGCCTTTATGCAGAATATATACAGTACTGGCAATATCAAACTTTTGGTCCTGCTTTGGTAGAGTTGGAGTGAATAGTAGATGTTGCTCTTACATGCAGGAAAAAAACATCCAGTATCAATGACAGTCTCAGGCCGGTAGCATTTGCTATCGACCTGTGACCCAAGTGTAACCGTCAACGTCGATACCACATCCTTTCCTCTCTTGTACATTTAAGTAGGAAAAGCATTAGGCAATCGCGGTCCCGTCGCATCGCGGGCTATGCTAGTCTCGGTCGCATCGAGGTCTCCCGACATTCTTTGGAAAAAATAGGAGGAGAACGGAGATCATGTTGCTAGCAAGCACAGATCAAAAACACCAAGTGAAAATAGATGCGTTATAAAATAATGGGAAAGATTTTCACTGCGCGCGGTCGAGATTAGCACAGAGCGCGACGCAAAGGGTCCGCGATTGCCTAATGCGTTCGCTTCTTTACTATTTACGCCAACACAAACGAAGCAGAACCGAAGATTTGATTTTATCAGCACTAAATAGATATACATACATTGCAGGCCAATTGCAAATCTCCTCGTGTTAGGAGTGTATTTTAGGAGCAGGTAAACTTGGTATGACAAAAAGAACAGTCAATTAATAGTATATTGTTTCACGAGTGATGAAAAAATGATTTTCGACGAGTAAAACACTATACTTTTTCTACGAACTCTATTATGTCATGTAGGTACCTACTAAAATGAAAAAAAAACAAACAAACGTTAGCAAATGCTTTATTTTGTGTTAGGAATAACAAAAAATTAACCAACAATTAAATATTTCAGAAATATTATTTATTATTTAAATATTGATTTATTGTTATATTTGAACAATTGTTCAAAATTATGGGGGCATCACACTCAAGCTTTTTATTTATTGAGGTAGATGCCGACATATTTGTTCTACTGTTAAATGTCCTTTCAGATGATGATGATGCGCCATAATCGGATGAACTAGTAGTTTCCTTATTTTGTACAGATTGTAAAATTTTGGTTTATATTTGGTTTTTTACTGTTCGTGGATTCATCAACATATCCTTCCGCAACACTACTAGATTTCCAACCACCGTGCTTTTTTAACAGAAGCAAGTCACCTCCTGCATCCACTAATAGCGTTGCGGATGTTCTGCGGAAACAGTGCCCAGTGTGTAATCTTGAGGATTCGGAAGCGTTAAAAACGGAGCAATTTCGTTAGGAAATTTACTGATTTTATTACCTCTCTGCTACACTTTTCATTCTGATAGTTAATAAAGAATCTTGAATTAATTTGATCCATGTTTGCGGGACGTATAGGCTCATATATTTTTTAGAAATATCATAAAAGGGTCCAGAAATATGAAAAGAACGCGGAACTTTTGTTTTTGTATTACGGATTTTAACTAACAGAATACTTCCAGTATCCTTTACATCGCTTATTGTTAAATCTTTTAGTTCGTGGCAACGACAAGCGCCAGATAATCCAAAAACTAATGCTACCTACAAATATTAGTAGTTATGTATTAAGTATTTGTTAAAATAAAAATAATAATTCCGTTACCTTTGTTATTAAATATTTATAGTCAGGTGCATTCTTTAGGAAAGTCTTTATGTCTTCAGGCGAAAAAATTTTGGATTTTTGGCTTTTAAAACCATCATATTTTCTTTTCAAAAGCGAACGTAACTTTGGATATTTACTAATATCGACATCATTTTTAACAGAGAGTGTAGTTCTTAGCATCGAATAAATGGACCATAACGTCGACGGTTTAAAATTTGAACATATTTCTCCAAAGTATGCTAGTAGTACAGTTTCCGAAAATGATTTCACTTTATTTTTTTCTCTCCAGTCCAAAAATTTGATATAAATTTCTTCATATCTCTTTTTTGATTTGGCCGGTAATAAATCTGAAGAGGTTTCTTCAGCTTTAAAAATAATTTCTGGGGGAGTACAATCGCTTTCTGACTCAGACATCATGAAAATGTGTTAAATTTAGGACGAACTGAAACTGACAGTTCTCAAAAGTGATAGAACTTCAAATAAACAAATGAAAACCAGGAAACTAGATGTAGATTAGTTTAATTTGCACTATTTTTATACATTTTTATTTTATCTTTAATTCATTAAAGTTTAGGTAAAAACGCATATAGAATTTAATGAGCATCTTTTTATTTCATTATTAATAATTATAAGCTGCCAAAATATTATACGAGGCGACTGATATATGAAAATATGTAACAACTTACTTTCGTCACTAGAGACGAAAGTAAACGTTATGGGATTTTTTCTCACTAGTGACGGAAATCAAGTTTTCGCTGAAAGTATCCTGTGGCGAAAGATGTCTTTTTGTAAGAGTTCGTAGAAAAAAACTATTAAGTACCAGGTACAGTGTCACATTTAGCGAGTGTCAAATGTTCGACTGTTAATCTACGAGTATTTATAATAAACAGAATAAGTTTGTTCGGTATTTTATTTTATCAAGATTTTTAGAGTTTTTGTGTTTGAAGATAGATAACTATACATGAAAAGCAAACAGGACAAGTTTGTGCTCAATTTACGTAGCAAAAACAACTCAAAATAAAGAAATATCTCTAACAAACTGATTTTAAACTGCAGCGAACGCCGGTACATTGTTAACACTACTATACCAGTATAGAACAAAAAGAAATAGATTATATAATTTTTACGAACTGCAAAAGCATTGTTCAAAAATTAAGAGATATTACAATTAACAACGAAATAAATTATATTATCTATGAAATTATTGCTCTAAATAGTGAGGCAAGAAAAAAGGGAAAAAATATAACGTTATGTTGGATAAAGTCACATATTGGAATTAAAAATAACGAAATTGTAGATGATTTGGCAAAAAAAGGAACTGATGATAATATCATCATAAATTCATATCAAGTCCCAAGAGGCGATTTAAATTGCTATATTAAATTATTTGAATTAAGTAAGTGGCAAGACAATTATAATTGTTCAGACAAAGGTCAATTTTTTAAAAACATTCAAAGCAAGATACCCTCCATACCATGGTTTAGCAAATTCAGCAACAGAAGTTTTATTAGAACGACTTGTAGAATTAGAAGTAATCATTGCCTGACTCCAAATTATAAAAGAAGAATGGGATTGGTAGACAATGATGAATGCATCTGCGGCGAGGTAGCCGATTTACAACATTTACTTTTAGAATGTATTTTAAATGATATTCACATATCAAATCTATATACCAAACTTATTCAACATAATGTCCAACTACCTATTAATTTGTCACACCTTCTCGCCCTCAAGAATTTCGATGTATACAAAATTATTTATAATCATGTAAACTCCTTAAATTTGAAGCTCTGACGAAAAGAATTAAAATATGTACAAAAATAAAAAATAATATAAAAAAACTAAATATTAAAAAAAAAAACAAAATTGAAACAAAAAAAAAATGCAAAAAAAAAGAAAAACAAAAAAAAACAAACAAAAACAAGTAAAAAACAAAAACAGACTAAAAAATTAAAAACAAGCAAAAACATGAGCTAGAAAAAACCTATTATAGGATTTACTTCTTAATAATGTATTTAGAGAAATTTGTATTTTTCAAATAAAATGTGAACTGTGAAATATTGTAAGGATAGAACTTAAAATTGAATTGACACAAAATAAACTTTATTAAAATTAATTAAAGATTGACTGGCCAGTTGGTTTTGAAACCAGTGCCAAACAGAAATACATACACACACATTAAAGTTTAGGTAAAAACGCATATAGAATTTAATGAGCATCTTTTTATTTCATTATTAATAATTATAAGCTGCCAAAATATTATACGAGGCGACTGATATATGAAAATATGTAACAACTTACTTTCGTCACTAGAGACGAAAGTAAACGTTATGGGATTTTTTCTCACTAGTGACGGAAATCAAGTTTTCGCTGAAAGTATCCTGTGGCGAAAGATGTCTTTTTGTAAGAGTTCGTAGAAAAAAACTATTAAGTACCAGGTACAGTGTCACATTTAGCGAGTGTCAAATGTTCGACTGTTAATCTACGAGTATTTATAATAAACAGAATAAGTTTTTGGAGAGTGTACAGGGTCTTAATGAAGAAACATGAAATTGACAAGAGGAAAAAATCTTTATTATTGATTTTACGAAAAAAAGTCACAGTTTTCCTGTCGGTTTTCCTTAATAACTTCAAAAGGAAACTTTTTCTTGTAATTTTTTTCAACAAGCAGAATTATTTGTAAGGAATTACTTTTTTTCTGAAAAAAATGATTATTAATCGTAATTGTGTTATCCCCAAATATTGAAATGCTTAACAAAGATTTAATTCTGATATTCATTTTGATAATAATTATTCTAGATATGCGAATTTAATTGGATATTAACCAAGCTTTTTAATCTTAATAAATCTAAAGTATTTTCATTACATAAAGCAAGAAAATCTTAATTAGACATTAAAGAAATTATAAGTAGTAAATTAAAAATTAGTAATGAGTCACATACAATCAAAATCATGTGTTTTAAGCAGTTTTTCGCTTTCAACGATTGTTTTTTTTTTCGTTTCAGGATTTATGGAAAAGAAAAATGTTGTTTGTTTTATGTTATTTAAAATAGTTGTTTATTCAGAAAATGTATATTATGTTTATTGTTGTAACCAATAAAGATTCTACAAATAATATTTAGTTAATATATAATTTTGTATTATTTATTTTACACTTCTAAAATTATTTAACATAAAATTTTACATTTTTATTTGCATTTTTCAACACGCATGAGATGCGTATTAAACAAATGCTTAAAAAAATGCTATTAAAAATGTAAAATTCTTATATTTTGTCGAAGTAAATTCAAAAGCCCGCCAATTTTCAAACTAAAATAGCATTACATCTTTCTATATTACCGACTGAATATTAATTGCACAAAACTATCCCATATGTCGCTGAAGGTAAACATGTTGCCAAATTTTTGTGAGAAATCGGCAACTCTTAATGTAAACCCTACACCGGTCCAATTTCAAAGGACGTTCAAAAAATTGCAATGTTTAAATTTATTACATTATGGAACTGAAAACTGCGAAGCAGATGGGGGTGCTTTACTTGTAAGGCTGCATGAAATTCGTAGGACTAGTAAGGATGGGCCATTTTCCAAAATCTCGTGTAATGGTGGCAATATTGTCGAAAATGTAAATATAAACAAGCATATTAATGAATTACATGCACACAATATTAATATTTTTTAAGAAAATTTTATTATATATGCGGATTTTTAATAAAAAAAAAATATCTTAAAATTCACAGTTTCAACGTATGTACACAATATGCCCTATCACACGAAGACTTGGATACAAGCTCCATGTATTGTTATTATAAAGCATACAAAAACACAAATGAAGATATTTTTGATAATTTAAAACTGTCAAATAATAGTTTTGTATGTTTAATAACAAAAATTAAAATAATTTTTCAACAAAATTTTGAATTATTTATCACTAAATCCGGCGTTTGTATTTTTTTTTTTCAGATTTAATTAATTCCGAGATAACATTTGACGCTCCTTGTCCCCATTTTCCAGCAATACGAGAGTGGTTTGACGGAAGAGTGACTTTTCAGAGGTTGGCAACACTTTTGCTATGGTGATTATATTGGCAGTTTCCGCCAGTTTCTGATGTCATCTTTCAAAATTTTACATAAATCTGACATATAGATTAGTTTTAATACTGATATAAAGAAAACTTTTGTTCCATCACGACAATGCTTCTGCCCATTCATCCGCTATTGTTGCAGAAAAATTAGCCGAACTGTGTTACGATTTATTGCCTCATCCGCCATATTTACCTGATCTGGCTCCCTCCGATTACTTTCTGTTCCCAAACTTTAATAAATGACTTGGTGGAAAGCGATTTCAGACAAATGAAGTGATGATGGTAAAGAAAAACGCGTATCTTGCGGAACTTCCGAAAGATTATTTTTTGGACGGTTTGAAAAAATTGGAAACTCGCTGGGCTAAGTGTGTAGAGTTAAAAAGAGTTTATGTTGAGAAATAAAATATTTTTATACAGTAAAGTAACTTTTTCATTGAAAAGTCACTCTTCCGTCAAACCACCCTCGTATATGTTTTATTATGGGCCGATTCCACTGTTGTGTTAAACTAAGATTAAAAAGATATTTTTACTTTGGAGTGAGGGTAGCCATATGTGAGTAGTAGGGATTAAGTGTAAGGGTTAAAGAAAAGGTCCTTTATTTCTCACAAGTCAATTTAATTGGCGACCGGTTTCGAAGCTGTCACTTCATCATCAGGCACACCTAAATGGAATGTCAAGGAGTCAGTTGTAATAAAAAACAATTATAAAAGCATGAACGGACTTTAACATATACAACATAACAGAAAAAACACAAAAGAAGTTAAACAATAACCTTGACTCACCTTGACTATTTCCATAACGGAAGCGCTACTAAAAGTTTAACAAAACGAGTTAAAAAAGTCATATGTAATACAATAGTATTTTTTAAAAAATATTGTAGGTTAGGTTAAACCGCGAGATGTCTGTTTGAATAAATTAATTAAAACACATGTAAGACTATTATTAACTAAACAACACAAAATAGTTTTTACAAGCACAAACAGTTTAAAAATTTTTAAGGATATAACGTCAATTAATAAAAGTAAAAATTATCAGACTCTCAAGACATCTATCTAGATTTTTTAACGAATCAATGTAGTAAACTGTAAATTTTAAATTTAGCTGATAAATAGTGTACTAACAAAGGTGTTATTTACTGAAAGTGAGTATAGGGGGCGGTGACAAAATTTATTGAAAGTAAAAATATTAAACTGGGAAATTTTGTCACCGCCCCCTATACTCACTTTAAGTAAATAACACCTTTGTTAGTACACTATTTATCCGCTAAATTTAAAATTTACAGTTTACTACATTGATTCGTTAAAAAATCTAGATAGATGTCTTGAGAGTCTGATAATTTTTACTTTTTACTTTTATTAATTGACGTTATATCCTTAAAAATTTTTAAACTGTTTGTGCTTGTAAAAAGTATTTTGTGTTGTTTAGTTAATAATAGTCTTACATGTGTTTTAATTAATTTATTCAAACAGACATCTCGCGGTTTAACCTAACCTACAATATTTTTTAAAAAATACTATTGTATTACATATGACTTTTTTAACTCGTTTTGTTAAACTTTTAGTAGCGCTTCCTTTATGGAAATAGTCAAGGTGAGTCAAGGTTATTGTTTAACTTCTTTTGTGTTTTTTCTGTTTTTTCTGTTATTTTGTATATGTTAAAGTCCGTTATGCTTTTATAATTGTTTTTTATTACAACTGACTCCTTGACATTCCATTTAGGTGTGCCTGATGATGAAGTGACAGCTTCGAAACCGGTCGCCAATTAAATTGACTTGTGAGAAATAAAGGACCTTTTCTTTAACCCTTACACTTAATAGATATTTTTACATTAACGATGTCATTTTAATCTTCTTTTAGTAATTTAAACTTTGTTTAACACAACGGTGGAATTGGCCCTAAGTTATATTTAAGTCTACTCATATATTACACTTTAAAAAATATTAATAGAAATTTTAAGACCCTCAATAAAAACTAGCTAATTATTTGGCGCAATCTATAGAGCATATTGTCCTTCTTAATGCTGTTCTTATAAGTTAAATTTAAATATATTTTATGTAAATTTTTACTTTTTTTGTTTTAATACGACTCTGTCTATCAATACCTTATTTAATTACAAAATGTTTAAATACTCTTTAATCCGGCCCTGACTAAGACCCTCGAATGGCGTCGCCAAGGTCAAATTTTCTTAGTATAATAAGTATTTGTATGCGATCAGCGGCAAGTGAGCCTGCTAATTGTTTCTTATGCCGTGTCCCTGGCGCATACAGAATCAAATCATAACCAATACAATATATGACAACCGCCTATATTCAAACAGCAGTCTTCTGCGCATCCTGAATTTGTATCCCTGGCGTGGATGTTATTTTGGCTAACTGATTCTTTAGCAATAAACTGTGCCAATGCCACCAATAAACTTTTTATTTACCTTTGAATAATGTCGTTTTCCCAAATGTCAACTTTGAGACTAGGACTTGTATGATCGAAAACTTCTACTGTTCTTATTGTAAAGGTTTCATTATTTGTTCTTGAATTACATGTACGAATAGGTCCTAAACCTTTAACTATCACTAATATGTTCACAAAATCTATAATTTAAAAACATTAATTTACACAAAAATAGGAACGCCAAATTTTATTATTGTACTTAGGTACCTGTAATAGCAGCACCATTATTATGTATGTCTCTCAACGGCAAAAATCCAGCTATAGGCTTAGTAGGAAGTTTGAGCAATTGTAGGTATTCGCTTATGTTACCTTCATGTCGTATTATCGATGATTTTTCATTTAAAGTTAAACTGTAAGGAGACGTGACCATTGGACGATATTGTTCTCCATGGTCATTCAAGTTTCTTACGTTAATAATAGGATTTATAATTTCCACTAAAAAACAAAACTTTATTTTTTTATAATAATATTATAATTCACATACTTACCAACATCCCGTGTATGAAATTTATCATTAACTTGAAAAATCACTTCTGTCGAGCCCCAATAAGTAACATTTATGTAGTCGCGAACCGAGTCTCTGAGTGTAAAATTCCATACCGCCCTGTATAGACCGGCAACCGGAGATTTTGTATCCAGATATTTACGAGGTTTTTGTTTTCCGATGATGATTCCAACGATAAGAACATTGCTTAGGGTAGGACTTAGATTTTCTAGAGTGGTTCGTTGCAACGCTACACTGTTTGGATCCATTTTTATTTTTGATCAAATGACATATAAGAGTATTCCGTTATTTCCACAGCTTACTTTATGAGATGTGAGAGTTATTAAAACTTGCAAGATTTTTACATTCATGCATCCAACAAGTAGGTATTACAGGATCGTGAGTTTTTTCGATCTCGACTTTTCGACGGATATTGTAAGTTTTTGGATCCCCTGAATCCGTTTTGATCATTTTCGCGAAGATGTCTGTCAGTCTTTATCCGCTATAATTCGAAATCGAATAAAGGGAAAAACACGAAATTTTAAACTTAAGTTTTAATCTTAGATTAAAGAGACCGAAGATGTAACATTGCACACTACGCATGCTGTCTATTTTAAGCCAAAGTAACCCACCAATTGAAAATCATTGTTGCACGACGCCACCCGAATTGCTCCGATTTCCATTCAGCGATCACCTCCACTTGAGTTTAATCACCATTAACAGCTGTTTTTTGATTTATTTGTTGGTATTTTAGCAATTTAAAGTGTTCTAGTTATTCAATTTCAAGTTCAAAATGTCACGATGTATCTTGAAAAATTGTATGTACTTATAATACAAGTACTACTGTTATGAATATATTTGTTTTCAGCGGTAAATATTTATTAACGTTTTGACATAAAGCGCCATGATTCTCTGGGCTGAATACGTCAGATCCGCATTAAGGGGTTTCAATAAATATTAAGCACCACAAACTCAGATTTCATATTATTTACATAAATTTACAAAAGGGTAAAATTTTGAACATTTAATTTAAATAAATAGTAAATAGGCATTATTGCTAACGAAATTTTGTATTTAAAAAGTAGTCTTATAAGAATGTTTTCTAAAGGTAGTTTTTAGCCCTTTTTGGTAGATAAATAAGAGGTAAAGAATCATAGTTGCTAGCTAAATTTTATTTTATAAGGTATTTTTATAAGAATATTAGATGAAATATAGGATGATCTACTTCAAATTTCAAGGTTCATCTTATTTGCGGTCAAATCGAAAGTGACATTGAATTTTCAGTCTTAAAACAAAGTAATCTAGTATAAGCAAAAAAAATACTAAAGTTACAGGAGTTAGGTCCGATTCCACCGTTGTGTTAAACGGAGATTAAAATTACAGTGTTATTGTAAAAATGTCATTTTAAACTTCGTTTAACACAACGGTGGAATCGACCCTTAGTCACGTTAATAAAATGTTACATTACAAACCCCTAAACAACTCGAACATTATTTTCGTTTACTAAAAAAAATCCAAAATTTAGCAATATTTATTTATTATACAAGCGAATGCGATTTCAAAGATAACTGGATCAAAAAATCCGAATCTCTAAATTTTGGAGCTAAATGCTCAGATAAAAGCAAGCGATTTATTTACAAAAATAATCGATTTATCGATAATTCTGATATTTTTTAATGAAAATCGATTTATCCGTTGTTTTTAATAAATTATTTTCGTTTTTTTTTTAAGATAATGTATTAATCGATTTTAAAGGAAATACAAAAAAAGTAGATTTATTCAAAATAATCGATTTATCGTTTAATCGGTTTTTTAATTATTTGATTATTTTCGATTTTTCAAAGATATTATATGAAAATAATCGATTGAATATAATCGGTTATTTTACATAATCGATATTTTTGTTTTTTTAAAATTATCGATTTATTGGATAATCAGCTTTTTAATAATCAATTATTTTCGATAATCGAATAATCAATTTCAAAGGAAATATGAAAAAAGGATTATTAGAAAATAATAGATAATTCGTTTTATTTTTTGGAAAATCGATTTATCATAGAATCGTCTTCTTAATTAATTGGTTAGTTTCGATTAGGCGATTATTTTGGAATTATTGATTATTTTTGATATTTCAAAGATAATCGAATTATCGATTTTAAAGGAAATACAATAAAAATAGATTATTGATAATAATCGACTGATCGAAAATAATCGATTATTTAAAATAATCGATCATTCTGTTTTTTTTAAATCGATTTGTCAGTTAATCGACTTTTTAATTAATCGAATATTTTTAAAATACAATAAAATAGATTATTGGTAATAATCGATATATCATAGAATCGGCTTCTTAATTAATTGATTATTTTCGATTAGGCGATTATTTTAGAATTATCGATTATTTTCGGTATTTCAAAGATAATCGAATTAACGATTTTAAAGGAAATACAATAAAAATAGATTATTGATAATAATCGATTGATCGAAAATAATTAATTATTTAAAATAATCGATCATTCTGTTTTTTTTTTAAATCGATTTATCAGTTAATCGACTTTTTTATTAATTGATTATTTTTGATTGATCGATTATTTTCGATTTTTCAAAGATTATCGAATAATCTGTTTCCATGGACGAAAAAAAATGGTTAATTTGAAAATAATCGATTATTTAAAATAAACGATAATTCTATTTATATTATATTTTGTAAACACTGATTTATCGGTTAATTGGCTTTTTAATTAATCGATTATTTTTGATTTTTCAAAGATAATCAAGTAGTCGATTTTAAAGGAAATGACAAAAAATATATCGTTTGAAAATAATCTATTGATCGAAAATAATCGATTATTTTCAATTATCGATAATTTATTTCGATAATCACTCATCCCTAGCGACCAAATGACTTTTAATAGATTTAAATTTTTAAATGTTATCTGGTTTCAGACATATGCATTTCTAGAGTTTTATGTGACTCATCCCTTATAATAATTAATATTCTTAAAGAAAGAAGCCTTATTATACTTTTTCTGAGGTTACAATACAAAACAACATTTTCTCATTTTGACTAATTTTTAATAATATGTAATAGCCGTAGAAAAAATATAATGTTCAACTCATAAGGGTAGATTTGCAGTATTAGCCTGCGCACATGCTATTTTTATAATACTCGTAGACAATGAGTAACATTTTTTGCTCTATTAACAATATATTCTATTTCAACATTTTACTGTAATCTCTTGCAGAAAAGTCCGTAGTAAATAAACGCTAACTAAATATTCTATAAAAGGTCTTCTCTTTACATAAAATGTTTGATATTAAAAAATCACGATAATTTGATTTCATAATACAAAATTCGATTAAACACCTTTTAAATAAATCTAATAGTTCATTAAGATGCTAATAAACAAAGTCCGGTCCCTGTCACAGAGTTCGGGTCGCCGCGTGTCGCCGCCCAGTTCCCCCACTCCGTTAACCCTTCTTTAGAAATTGGCAACATTTGCGCAGTTTTAAAACCGGTGTATGTTATATCTCTGGTCTCTTTTATCTAAGGTTTTAATTCATCTTGCGGTGAGCTAATTAGATTTTGGAGTCGGAGCATCTGAAGGGGACCATTTTTCTAATTTAAGGGTATATTTCTGTTATTTATTTATAAAAGAAAATTCTTGTCATAAAAGTTGTTTGTGATGTAATTTTCTATAATTTTCCTATTTCTCTAAAATGGCCCGCAATGGAGAAATTTGAGGAAATTTGTACTTTTAATTTTTTAATTATTTTCGTTGGCAAAATAATTTTTATCTTTAATTCATATTGTAAACTGTATGGGACACAAAAAGAACAAAGCTTCAGTACGTGTGTTCTTTGAATCACATTTTAATTAACATATATAATTCACGACAAATGAAAAATGGATAAATAAAAAACATCAAATTTAAACTTTAATCCATCCTGCGTCGAGATGATTAGATTTTGGGCATAGTCGGGGCATCTGAGGGGTACTTATATAGGAGGTATTTTTTCTAACTTAAGGTATATTTCTGTTATTTACGATTTTAGAAGAAAATTCTTCCAATAAGAGTATTTGTGATGTTATTCTACATAATTTTTGTCTCATACATGATTTCTCTAAAATGGACCGTAATGGAGAGATTTGAGGAAAAGTCCAAAATTTGAATTTTTCAGTATTAAAGGATAGAAAAATCATGTGTTGGACACATCATATTTTTTACTTTCCTTGTCTGTATACAGAAGAAAAGTATATGCATCATGATTTTTGTCGACCTCGAGTTATCGACGGATTTTTACGTTTTCGAGAAATTTGACAAACTGTGCAAAATTCGAAGTTTTAAGAAAATTGTGATACTCGTTGTGATGTCATCTTACTAATATATAAATGCGAAAGTTTGGATGGATGTTTGTTGCTCAATCATGCAAGAACGGCTGCACGGATCTGGATGAAATTTGGCACAAATATAGATTATGGTCTGGAATAGTACATAGGCTACTTTTTATACCGGAAAAATATACGGTTCCCGTGGGATAGATTTGTTTTTGACAGACATGATTTTTTGCATAGTGGTATCTTTATCTGTAACGTGTGGAGGGTGGGTTACCCCACAGCACTTAGGCCTCATTATTAGGCCCATTGTGCATCCTCCTGAGATATGATAGGCACCTCCTAGCTCGTGAGCCAGCCTACAGATTTAATGTTGACAACGTCGCCAAGAGGTGCTTCTCTTATAATCGGTCGGTGTTAGCCGATACTCGCCGAACACAAATCTTCTAATAAATAAGAGCGTCGAGCAATCTTAAAGGATATGCTCGATGGTCTCATCTTCTTGTTCGCACCCTCTGCAAAGTGCGGATTCTGACAGCCCCATGATATGGATATGCTTTCGTACTTGGCAATGACCAGTCAGAATGCCTGTGACTAGGCGCAGATTCTGTCTAGTCATAGTCAAGTATTTGTTTGCTGCAGTGTTATCAGGATAACTTAAGAGCTCCCTGGCAACTCTGTAGTTTCTTGTTTCATCCCATATTTCCTTGAATTGAATAGTGGTAGTGAAACATGATAATTTGAAATACAGCTACTGAGCATAAATAAATAATGACGTGTTTCAGGGTTTTTGGATTGTCACATTTTAAGGGGGAAACGGGGGTTAAAAGTTTCAATGGAAGTATCGATTTTTTTAAAGGTAGAAAATTGAAAATTAGAATTGCAACTACTTGTTATAAATAAATAGACATTAAGGGGGGAAACGGGAGGTGAAAATTTGTAGGAGACTTTCGGTTTTTTAAAGGTAGGAACTTGAAAACTGGAATTGTAGCTATACATTGTAAGGAAGGGGAAATATGGAATATAGTAAAACTAAATATTAAAAATAAATAAATAAAAATAAATATATAAAAGTAAATAGATAAAAAAAAATAAATAAAAAAAACATAAATAAAAATAAATAAAAATTAATAATAAATAAGAAAAATAAATAAAAATTAATGAACATTAATAAAAATTAATAAAAAGTAATAAAAATAAAACAAAATTATTAAAATTAAAAAAAATTAATAAAAATAAAAAAAAATTAATAAAAAAATTGGCCAGGTATCGCATGAAAAAATTTCTCTGGAGTAACGAACAGTTATTCACGTTTAATAATTTATTGAGATTTGAGAAATTCTAGAGAAGAGGGATCGGGTCATGATTTCCCCAAAATGATCATCCGTATTCGAGATATTTGAGGGACAGTGCAAAATTTTAATTTATTTAAAAAAAAATCGATTAAGATGTCTGTGAAAAATTTATGTATTTAGTTCATCCTCTAAACATTTACAAGGGTGATACAACATGTTGTACAAAATAATCGGAAATTCTATAAAAACTAGCCAGAAAAGTCATGAGCTGGACACATCAGAATTTTAAATAAGTATATCAGATATATCACAAAATATAATGGAAAGGAAAATATTTTTTACAGAGACGGAAGATACAAACGTAATACTTAAATTTTTCTTTTTATAAGCGTAATAATTTTCTAGAGTACGGATATGTTTTTTATATACACTTACCGGTGAGTTTTGCGTAACAAACATTTTGTTTTGGCAATTTAACGAGCTTTAAACGTATGTATGTTACTTCAAGTAGTGGTCTTTTGGTAGGGGTCTGCAATTGGTAAGTCGACTTTTTGTCACAACGGGCGGCCGGCGGAAGGCCGTCGTCACTTTACCAGCAATAATATTCCCCTAATATTGTTACCTTGCACCCTGCAGTAGCCTGCGGCTGTTATAAAAAACGTACTACTAAACAAAATAAGTGCAATGTCACATCAGTGAGCATAGGACCCAATGGGTCCTATGATTGAACGTTTATGTTATCAGTAACGTACATGTTAGGTCGAGTTTTAACAGTAACGAGGCAAGTTCGTATGATGGAAAACTGTTAAATTAGAACATAACAAGCGGAAAATAACAGTAATGTGTTGAAAAAACTTTTCCATCATACGAACTTGCCTCGTTACTGTTAAAACATGTACGTTACGGATAACGTAAACGTTCAATCATAGGACCCATTATGCGTTAGTTGACTCCCATTTACGTTATGCTGTTCAGTTTTGGGGAGTTTGTTCTGCCGAGTTATTTGGTAGAGTCTTTATAATGCTGAAACGGGCAATAAGGTTCTTATGTGGAGCACACAGATTAGTTTCATGTAGACAGCTGTTTCTAAAACAAGAAATATTAACAATAACTTCTTTATTTATCTTAAAAACTTGTTGCATGATCCATAAGAACAAGTCGAAATATAAATCTAATATATCCCGAATAACTCGCCAAACGGGTAACTTGAAGTTGCCTATTCCCAAAACTGAACTTATAAGAGACTCTTTTATATATAATGGTATCAAGATGTACAACAGGCTATCACATACTTTGACAGATGTTGAGTCACAGAATTGTTTTAGAAAGATGATCAGGAGATTTCTGTTAACTAGGCCTTATTATATTACAGAATTTTATAATGACGAGACCCGATAATGACGAGACCCGATAATGACGAGACACTGTGATATGTTTTACTTTGTTTTGTTCTATTTTATTTTAGATGTATGTATTAATGTTAATTTATAATAATGTTTGTTTATATTTTAATGACTATTTATTTATTTATTTGTGCTTTGTATAACAATATTGTGTTTGTCAATAAGTATTTTAACTTGGACAATAAATATATATTAATTCTCTCTCTTTCATAGCCCGCTATGGGCGAAAGTGATAACACCTCAGGATAACACTAATTTCATGTAGTGTCATCTGCTCCCCTTCCCACTTCCCTGATTCTACCCATACATTCCACCATCTAAATGGGACCCGAGCTATGTGAGTCCGGTCACCCATTCAGACCGTGTCAGGGTCATAACGTCTGCGCATGTGATCGGTGTTTTGAATACCTTTCGCAATTCGCAGCCAATCATCAGCGATCCGGCTGAAGCAGAATGTTTTCCATGGCCGCTGTCACAGTGTTCAACATTGTTTCAAATGGGATTGCGAATGTATTATCGCACATTACTAGCTGATTTTGCATAGCCTCTTCTACTTAATTATTATCCTAACATCCACGGATGAACCTCTGGACTCTGGAGAACCAGAGCAATCGTCGAGAAACAGCTCAAGTGAAAGGGATAGTATTCTCCAAATCGATTAAAAGCTAACCTTATCCCGAACAACCTTACAACGTGATGTTACGTTGTTATGGATGATTGTTATTTTATTTTTACTTTTAAGTGTTATACATTTATTTATTTATTTTTTTACCTACCTATTTAAAAGTGAAACCAACGACAGCATTCCACAGAAAGTAAGGTATAGTCTGAGCTAACGAAGAAATGATCCTCTGAAAAGTGTTTGGTCCAACACCATAAAAAAACTGATACGAAATCACCAAAATGAATGTCCATCGTAATCATTAATAGTCAGATTTATTATATTCCATTTTATAAAATGTATTCCCAGTAAACCACAAATAGTCGGCATTCGCTCGGCCTGACACCGGCATGTACGGGAAGCCGAGTACTCGGATTGCCGTTGTCGGGGTTCCTTTTGAGCAGGGACGTACTTTAGAAGTAGAAACCGCATGTGATCCTATTTGGCTGGGTGCCCCACCTATATGCCCTACCTATCTGCCGAAGCTGCACCCGTATATCAGGCCGAGTCTGGCACCCGTCAAGCCTCCTTCGGCTCAGTTATGGTGCCGATTAACTGTGTTTATTGGGTCGATAATGATAAATATTCATTAGACAAAAAAAAACACTCCAACAAGAAAATATTTATTGTGTCTTAAATAAAAAAAAAAGATCAGTGCTTACAAAATAAACAACAAATAAATATATCTCTAAAACTAGTTTTAATAAATTAAAGGACGAATAATGTCCAAACACGTGGGTCAGCTGGGAGCTTAAATGATGCCTAACAAAATCACTTCAAGAATATCCTTAATGTTTGTTTAGCTAATAAAAATATATTTCAACTTTAATTTCTATCACATCTTTAAAAAATAAATTATTCTTGTTGTTATATTTTCTAAAAAAATAGTACAATCTCTGAAACCGTATTATACATACTTAATTATTAGTTTAACAAAATCATCAAGCTCCCAGTTTGAAATCTACTCTACAGGGCTGGTAGGCATTACTTTAAAGCTAAATTACTCATTAAATTCTTTTCTGGCAGTACAATATACTAAATGCTTTAACAAAGACGACTCGTCTGTCAATAAACCTACTTCAGTCCATGTCAAATACATTTGCCTTTTCGAGAAATCTGAGTATGTATATTATTAACAGATGGAACGTCATATCTAGTAAAGATTTAATTTAGATGCCAACAGCGATAGTTAGGCAACAACTAATAATAGTGAGCAAATAGGTAGGATTATTACATAGATATAGGATTATTACCTATTCCGCAATAGGTATCGCACTGTGGTCTTTCAATGCATGACGTAGCTTTTAAACTTTAGACTGGTCAATTGGTTTTTGTTTTTAGTTTTGCTTGTTTTATTGCCAGTTTTCTTAAATGTATTATAAAAATTCGGAAAAATAATTGTTCAATATAGGTTTGTTTTACATGCATTGAAGAGCAGTTGATCAGTTGAAAATGTACGCGATGCATAATCAAATAGTTCACTGCCTCGCTGTAGATTGCTTTCGCTAATCAATACATTCAAGAAACAATCTCCTGAAAATAAGTAGTATTGTTCCTTTTTTGTCATAACAGCTTTAAAAATAAAATAAACTCTAAAAAAACTTTAGATTCTAAAAATAACTTCAAAAATAAAATCAAAAAAATACTATTACAAATTTCAAATATTTTTAGAATCAGACCAAATTGGAATTTTACTTTTTCACTACAGTGATACAGGAACTATTTATTTATCGTATAGGTAGGTACAACTTTTAGATCAAGTGTTGCTTTTCCGACCATTCGCTTGAATCCATTGTAAAACCTATTTTAGGTAATTATTTTTTCCCAATTTGTATTTTTTTTTTGTTTCTTCATAATCAATGTTATTGCACTTACCAAGTAAATCCCGAATTGATTTTAATGTACAGGCCAATTAGCGTTTAACTTTACTCCCATTTTTGACTTGTAATGTATTTAAAACGTTGTAAGCCAATCAATTTATTAGATTTAATAGATGACGCAGTATTTCAGCTACGTCATAAGTAATGCAAAACCTTTCTAATTATAACATTCGCTACTTTAAACCTGAATGACGACCTTATAGGTCCATTTTAAAACCTACTTCTAACGTGTTCTAATAAATTACTATTGAAAATTTCACATTTTTAAACTACTTTTTGAACTCGCCTCAAAGTTCTAAATTAGACAATTCTACGGGGTTTCAGTTTTTCTTAAAGGTACAGTAGCATTTTTTATCCAAAATAATTTACTAAGTTCGATAGACCGTTGGTTATCGAAGAAATTATACCAGATTCTTGTGCTTGTTGTTGTTGTTGCTGTTGTTGATATACAGGTCGATGGTATAGTTGTTGAGGTTGAGGATGGAAAAATTGTCCTTCTTTTCTCTGAAATTTGAAAAATGCTTGGTTAGTTCGGAAAAGTGATATTATTAACTAGGCACTTATATTCGTATTAAAGTTTCGAAAGGAAAAAATTTGATTTATAATTATTCTAATATATAAAGTGATCCATTGGAAAAATGATATTACATTAGTTATAGATGGATTCCACGAAGGTGATTCCAAATAGCCTGTGTTTAATGAGTCCTTTTTTATAAAAGATAAGATTTTTTTTTCGTCATCGGCATCAACTGCTACGGTTATTAGCCTCGTGTTCTGTGTAGGCTTTGTCACTGTTTCCCAGCGCCACTTTAGGAACAGCACTCTTAATTAGTGCCCAACAGTGAATGATCGAGTGGGGAATCCTACCAAGGCATCAGAATTAATTTTAAATAATTAAATTAAATGAAAAAATTCCGGCCAACGGTTGTTTAATTTAAAAATAGTTTTTTTATTAAAAACAGTTTATTTATAATTTATTAATAACGGACTAATTAATTTATTTAAAACTTAGGCACTATTATAACTCAGAATTCTAATTTATCTATTACAATTTATCTTTTCTATACAACACCTATATTGAAAATTAACGTTTACCGACAAAATCGCGTTATTTATATAAAGCCAGCTATGCTCCAGTCGATTTTCGGCGATCTAGAATGTCTGGGAATTCTTCCTCGGTGAGTCAGCCGGCGGGCAACGGATTCTCTGGTAATTTCTCGAAGGAGTGCTGGTCTCGATATAGCCAGCGCTAGACTTCATATCGTGGGTAAGGCTGCTTCAAGCAATCTCATGACAAAAATAATAGCTATTTGTGTATTAAAAGCGAAACGTAATACTTTTCGCTCAAAGTCCACACAAGATTTTTTCTACGGTCACTTTGCGGTTGTATTTCAAAGCTCAAAAGCCTACTTTGACTAGTGATCGTAGAAAAAGTTACTTAATAAAACTTCTCAGAAGCGATAATGTATCGAGATTTCAAACTACCTACCTTGAGGTACGCTTTTATGAGTGTACCACTACAATTATTAAAGTTAAACACATTTTATTCTTAAATAGTAGTAGTAAAATCTTTTTAGTCATACTAGATTAATTTTTAATTAAATGAGTAATTTTAAAGTTCTATTCATTCTACCTCTACGTAATATCTACTAACCCGTGCTACCTATTTCTCACATTTGTAATAACGGGTGGCTATGAGAATGACAGGTTTCAACCATGTCTTATCTCCATAATTTCTTTTTATTTATTGGTAAAAGGTGTGTATTTATTTGTGATAATTAATAAAATGCCTCATACGTTTTGTGAATCAAGAATATGTGTATGGTATTCGGGATAATCTGATTTTAGTTCTGTTGATTGCCACATAAGAGAGACTTTTGAAATCTAAAGTGTATTCTTCCGAAATAAGTAGGAGGGAGGAACTCCTTCAGAGAATTGAAAGGGTAGAAATAAGAAATAACCTGGTTGTTTTTAGAAAGTACATGCCACAAAATTTAAAAAGAGCAAGAAAGTGTCCCTATTAGGTATATCATGTCTTTCTATTAAAAGGTTTGTTGTTATACATAGGTAGGTAGGTAGGTAGGTAGGTTTTTGTTGTTTGATCGTGTCAAATACCTGTCGACTAAACCTCATGGGGACACCACAATAAAAAAGTATAAATTTTAAATAATCTTTACCTCTACAAGGCGTTTCAATTTGATACAGGATTTTCCAAATGATTGTGGTATTTAATCTAAAATACGGACATGTAATTACATTGTGTAGTGATATAAATATAAACAAGAACCAACCTAATATGTAGCTTTTATAAAATTTATATTTAGTTAGTTCAAGTAATCTTAATTCAACGTCAAATTTCTGTATCCAGAAAACTGAATTAGAATCACCCGGTGGGCTCCGTCCACGGTTAACGTATGTCCGTTTCTTAATGAATCAAACCCTGTATAATGGCACTATAAAATTGCTTTTAGAGCTGGTCACTTAATCGATACAGAATATGTTTTAATTAGGACCCTAGGACGGTAAAGCTTTCCGCACCTTGACTTTCTCAGATCTATTTTTATACTTCATAAACCAGAAAGTAGCTCTCCTGTTTAGTTGCTATTGGTTTTTCTTCTCCAAGTGTAAGGAATCTCAGTCTTGATAGACCTTCGTAGTAGCACAATATGTGTACTGCAGTTTCATTCTCTTCCTGGCAGTATCGGCCTAGTTGTAGGTATTATCAGGTGATTTCTCCCTATCAGGCATACCATAAGTCGGATGATTTTAAAAAGTTACATTTTTGGAACCATCTCACCTGATGGCAATCTCATAAGTGAAATATGAGGCGTTAATACATAAGAGAAGTATTTTATGGAGATTATATCTCCGAAACAGTTGTCAGATCCATATTACGCTACAGTTGCATGTTTGGGTATGATCTTAGATTTTGGGTATGATACAGTGTGTCTACGTAACTTTTTTATTATTAATTTAGAAAAAATATTCTTTATTCAGATATCAAATTTTATCAGTCGTATAAGAGGTTTTTCAAAAAATGTATTTTTGACAAGCGTCGTTTACGACGAATTGTAGGTTTTAGACTATGCAAAACTTTTTATGAAGAATTTTTTGATAAAACTAATAATAAAAAAAGTTTTACATACGTAGCCAACTTACGTAGACACACTGTATATCATATAAAGAGTCACGTATTATCAAAAATCAAGCAGGACGAATTATCGAGAGTAATTACGATTACAGAGATTTCGATGAAAATTTTAAAGCTAAGGTCCGAATTGAAAAAGTAACTTCCCTGATATTCGATTTTGGACAGCCCATGATCTATGATCACCATATTTGATTAATTATCGTAGAGATGAAATTTAAACTCATTTTTTAGATAAGAAAGAACCAGTTCAGAAATCAACTTATTTTGAGTCCAAATAAAGGTGAGAGGAAAACTAATTGAAAGTTAAAAACGATTGAAAGTAGAACAAATGATCCAAATCGCATATGGTTGAAATTACAAATAATCGAAAGTACTAATAATCGAAAGTATTAATGATCAAAATGATATATTATCGAAATGGTATAAGACCGAAAGCATTAAATTACGAAATTAGTAAATTACTTGTGCGGCCTGGAGGTATGAGTTATTTCGCAATAAATGATTCATAATGATTAAAAAAAACTAAATTACCTAACCAGTAAAAGTGAAATGGCTCCAGGTTGTACAGGTTAGGTCTAAAGTTAAGTTTTTTCTTATTTTATGTATAATTTTTTTGCATCTCAATGATTGTTTCTTTCTTTTGTACTTTTCGATCTTTTTCACGTTCGACTAATTGTATTTTCGATCATTTGAACTTAGACCAATTTAATTTTCGACCGTTTTTATTTCGACCAATTATTTTTTCGACTATTTATAATTTCGATCAATTCGATTTGATTATTTTCCCTGCGACCTTTTAACTTTCGATCATTTTTCCGCTCACTCAAACAAAATGTCTGGGAAGCTTGTGCACTAACTAGTTCCCAGCGTTCCAAATTTAAGATCGACTATAGCTTCCAAGCAATTCCAAGGAGGCACATACGACTATAATATTTACATAATTTATCTAAAATGAAATCAGTGCCGAGATGAAAAAAGTTGAATCAATTATTTTAAAATCGAATTCTTAAGAGCTTAATTATTATTATTATTTATGTATGGAGATGTAAAATTATTAAATTGTCAACGCCTCTCAGTAGGCGGAACAGTCAATTATTACATTGAGGGGAGTACTGCCATTTGATATTAGGCATTCCAAACAAATGAATTGTCAGTGGGCAGGTTTGGTAGATTTGACGGTTGCGACATACGATGTATTCTATCTACAATACGTAAAATCATGAATAATGGATTACATTTAAAAATTTTATATCGAACACTATAAAAATATTAATTAAAAAAACTGCTTGTACATTTTTTTAAAAACTGGCAGGATTGACGACTGATATTTCGAATAAAAATAGCGTCCAAGATGCAAGACTATGTCGCTACCCCCTTAGATATACGAGACCTTCCCACTGGCAGGTATTATTTGACAGGTCGCTGGAATGCCTAATTTTAACAAGATAATTTTGACGTTTTCAAATCAATTTCTAATAATAGTGCTAAAAAAAGACGAATTTACATAGTGAAGATGAGTTATTATATACACCTCCAGAAATAAGAGAGATAGCAGGGCTGGTATATCTAAGGGGGTCGCGACATAGACCCAGTAAATGGATGAGGGGGTGACTGAGGCTAGGGGGGAAATAGTAGTCAGCTTAAGTTGGCAACACTTTTCTGATGTTCGTTTGAACGAGCATCGTGCATAATAATGTCAATATGGTACAAGTGGAATGAACACCACTGTTTTCCTCGAAGTCGTAGTTCAATGTCGAATTAAAACTAAAAACATTTTGTACTTTTTTATATACCAAATTATGCAATTTGTTTCCACTTTATTTTAATGTTACATGAATAGGTACATGCGTTTGTGCTGTGGTAAATAAGTGTTCATATGAAAATTATATCTTAAACTACATTGTGACTGCACTCATCTCGAAACTGAATGCTGTAAATCCAGGATTTGAATCTTTCATAGTGTTGCTTGGGATAAGTTGTAAAAAAGGTGTTGGACAAAACGTTTACAACCTAAAATTGCATGAAAAACACGATAGAAGAAGGAATTTTACCTTTATGATATTCTCTTTCAACATTTTTAAGTGACTTTGTGGTTTGGTGAATGGACTGTTACCACAGTCAAAAGATTCAAAGTAAAAAAGTGACCAAGTTCTAATAAGAATACATAAGTTGAATATGAAAATGTAATTACTTGATTTAAATGTGATTTAATTAAGAGTTACATAGATGTTTCATATAAACAAAGTGCTGTAAAATGTTAATAAATGCTAAACCATTATTAAAGAGAAATTAGTTATCATCAATAAGATATTTTGTAGTAGCTGGTCTCTATAAATAATAAACTTGAAAGACT